TCACGTATTACTACGTAGTTGAGAAACACAAATACTAAGTTACGCATAAATAAACAAATTATACATTTTTTCACGAAGCGATAACAAACGCACGGTAGATCCATGTAGTATTACGTTTTTCCTCACGTACTCCGATCATTGGAAGCTATACCTTGAAGAAACATTTGTACAAAATTCTTTTCCAAAATATAACGGGTACAAGTGTATTTCGAATCGCTGGATAGCATTATGCTACATGTATTCTTTTTTACAGTGAAGTGTAATAGAGCACTCTAAATTACTGGATCATATGGTGTTACGTATATTGCGTAATAACTAACCGCAAACCACACAGCGCTACGATAAACCACGTTAAATCGCTAATCCATTATAACTGTGACGAGCAACCCCTTTTTTTTGCACACTCGATAAGCTGTAAGGATCGTTGCAACTGTTTGTACAATCAGAGACGTAATTTGTTTATTTAGAGATTGTTAATCTGCGGGGTGGAATTTTTTATTTTCAACGTAGGCAACGATGAGTACAGTTTTTATTGATAACAATCGCGACTAATCTTTAGCGGAGGATACAAATTAATAATTGCGAAAAGTTGAAACAACGAAAGTTAGGTTAGGTTAGAAATTGTTAATTTACAGGGTGGAATTTTTTATTTTCAACGTAGGTGATAATGAGGACAGTTTTTATTGATAACAATCGCGACTAGTCTTTAGCGAAGGATACAAATTAATAATTGCGAAAAGTTGAAACAACGAAAGTTAGGTTAGGTTAGAAATTGTTAATCTGCAGGGTGGAATTTTTTATTTTCAACGTAGGTGATAATGAGGACAGTTTTTATTGATAACAATCGCGACTAATCTTTAGCGGAGGATACAAATTAATAATTGCGAAAAGTTGAAACAACGAAAGTTAGGTTAGGTTAGAAATTGTTAATCTGCAGGGTGGAATTTTTTATTTTCAACGTAGGTGATAATGAGGACAGTTTTTATTGATAACAATCGCGACTAATCTTTAGCGGAGGATACAAATTAATAATTGCGAAAAGTTGAAACAACGAAAGTTAGGTTAGGTTAGAAATTGTTAATCTGCAGGGTGGAATTTTTTATTTTCAACGTAGGTGATAATGAGGACAGTTTTTATTGATAACAATCGCGACTAATCTTTAGCGGAGGATACAAATTAATAATTGCGAAAAGTTGAAGCAACGAAAGTTAGGTTAGGTTAGAAAACTTAATTTATTAATTGAACAAGGGTGGAATTTGTTATTTTCAATATAGATAATAATGAATACACTTTTCATCCGTAAAAGTCGCGATTAATTTTTGCAGGAGAATATGTAGTAAAGCATGTGTAATCGAAAGTAAAGGATACAGATAAAAATGTAGACACTTTTTCGAATTTACGAGCTGCTGCTGCTATCACTATAGTTCTTATCACGTTATCTATTCTTAGACAATACAAATTTTTCAAAAATAAAAATTATTTCGTAGATTCATATACATATCATGCGAAAAATAAAAATTGTTGCTGCTATTACTATAGCTTTTATCATAGTATCTATACCGAAACTGTACAATCTTTTGGAAAATAAAAATTAATTCGTAGATTCGTATATGCAATTGATCGCTTCAACTAATTGAAACGACGTACACACACAACTTCTCCAGACAGCAAATCCACACGGGTTGCTCATCACCGAATTCTAAAATAATACCGAACATAGAACAATAATATCCTCTTCCAATTTCACCGGTATCGAAAACTAATCAGTATCACTGTGTTCCACGAGGAGGAAGTGCAAAGCGCACCGCCAAAGTCCCTCCACTGTCCAACTTCCGCTATCGCGTTCCCGCTAATTTTCCCCTTTAGCCAGCACCCTATCGTCGTTTGGCTGGCGCACAGATAGCGTGTCTCGATGCGATCTCGCGGGGGTTCCCAGGCGAAGATCGAGGAAGTTTCGAAAGGGCTCGGAATTAGAGCAACAATAAGAACGATAACGTCGAAGGGCCTTGGCTGATTATCGGGCCGTTGCTTGGTTAAATTGGAAAAGTTGCCGAGATTTGGCCGCGGATTACGGGGTCAGAGATCGTTTCCCGCGATCGGGCTTCCTTTGGTGCGCGCGCGCGCGCTCGTTCGCGCCGGAAACGGAAACGCGCGCGCGCGCGATAACGTGTGCTGTACATACACACGATACGCACATCATCGAACCCCCTTGATACCGATCCTTAGACTATAGCCCCTGGATCGATTGGAGAGCGCAGAAAGCACTCTCGATAGGGGGATCTCTGAAGTTAATTACCAACTCAGTCTCTCCCTCTTCTTTCTTTTTTACTCCTACTTCGTTTATTTCTCTTTCCAGATCAGAGGATTCCACAGGGGAAAAATTGCTAAATTTTCGCCACCGCTCGTACGATGGAACTTCGTTTGTCTATTTGTTTAAGTCTCGACGGTGTAGCTGCACTCGTTCGGTCTAATTACTCGGTTTCTTTTTTCCTCTCTCTCTTTTGCAACGGCGCGACGCATTCTTTTTTGTGTAAATTCGTTATTGGAGAGTATCGTTGGATGGAACTTCCTTGCTTCGAAGTGAAAATAAGGGAATGAAGTAAACAGATAATTTTACTGCTCTGGGAATAATAAGTTTCGGTGAAAATTGAGATTTAACGTTGGGAAGGATCGATCGAGCCGAAATGATCCGTTTTCCGAAAGTGAATTTTTCTGTAACTTGAAAGGTGATTATAGAAATTTGTCTCGTGTCGATGTAAATGTACGGAGAATTCACCTTTTTTTTTTTTTTTTTTAAAGCTGCTAATCTATCGAACATTAGTGATTCGCTTAAGAGTAAAAATTTAACGAATAGAGCAATCATCTAATGAGATTCGATAGTTCATTTATACAAACGAAGTTCTACTATACGTTCCAGCAGGTTTCAAGTTTGCAATACTACACTCGCCGGTAATCTTTCTATAAAAAGAACCGAAGATAGATCGCTTGTTGATCACAGTTCAGCAGTAATTAAGAAGAAATATGTGTCGATTTCTTGCTAATGTCGATCGGGAAATCGTAAATAATTCTCGTGTCATTCCGAGAGAGAGAAAAAACACGTCTAGCGTGACTTGGTTGGCGTGTCTTTTTTGAAATTCAAATCGCTCTCGTTGAAGATCCGGCCGCGGTCGAATTGCATGAATAATTCGATAAACGTGTACATCTCTCGCTGTAAAATTTCGACGTGGTGTTTATATCCTCGAATGGAAAAATCGGAAACGCGTACGTACGTTGGATTTACGCCTGTTTTATTCCATTCTCCTTCGTTAATCGATCTTTACTCCGTTCGTTAATCGGTTCCGATAAATCTCTTATTAACACGTTTAATTTGCCGCCTGAACTCGCGATCGAGAAGCAAGCAAACCTTTTTCGCGTGCACGCGTCAATGAGAATCTCTCGAATCGGTCGGAATTATTCGGGAAATTAATTGCCGCAGATTTCCCGCAAGTTTCTCCTTCGGTGCGGAACATTTTTCAAATTCAAAAGATTATTCTCATTAAACTCCGGTGGGTAAATAGTACCTCGTTACTAAAAGCGAGAAGTATTCGCAGAATTTGTTTAAAAAGCGGCTGTGGTTTAACCGGATAGCGTTGTCAATTTTTCCCCGGAATTTTTCCACTTGGAACAGAAAAAAAAAGGGAGAGAAAAAAACGTTCGATCGTTAAACGTGCGTTATACTTTGTCTTTTTTCTTTTTTTTTTTTGTTCCTGGATAAAATACTGTTCGTAATTATTCGGAGAGAGCGCGCCTGTTTATCAGAAGAGAATAAAACCGGGGCTTACTGTAAAGAGTAATTAAGAGGATGTATTTTTAAATCGCAGCGAAGCTGATTCGGTAACTAAAATAATTGTTAGAAGAGAAACTCCGAATAAAACGTATTCGATGCAAATTTTCTGAAATTTATCATCATTCGTACAATTACGAACAGTTTTTTCAACGTGTTGACTAAATTATGATTGTTATTTAGCAAGAAAAATTTGTCGAAACTTTACGAATACAATTGTACTCCTGTTAGAATGGTTTCTGCGCTCTCCAGCTTCTTTTATTAGTGAGGACTTGGATTCCCATATCGTGCTTATGGCGCACTGTTCAGCTGAACAGTTTGCAGTTCACGTTTCGATCGATCGAGGACGATCGATGATCGTTTAGTTTTTCTCTGTACCGAACGCCAGAACTTGTCCTGAACAGGTCCGGCCCATAAGCGGGTCTGAGAATCTTGGCCTAAACAGTGCAAATGACTGATACGTACATATATATATTGTATACATTTTTGTTTCTTCTGTTAGAGCATTCGTAGAGTAATCATTATTATAAACGTTTTTTTAGGTTACATTGACTTGTTCTTTTGTGTGCCACGTGATGCGTATTTTCTAATGTAGCATGCTTTTTGAACTGAAAACTGAAACCCGGAAGTATGAACAGTGAAGACTACTTAGGAAAGAAAAGACACTGAAATCGTTCGTCTTCAGACTCGAGATATCGTCTTCCCTCTTTAGCATCATTCCCCCCCAAAAAAATAAATAAATTAAATTATCTAATTTTTAAAATTCCCGCCCAAAAAAGAATGATTTCAGTGCGTAAATGGAAGTTAGAAATTTTCTAAAAAAAAATTCGAAAATTGAAAAGTTTCTTTGACAATTAAACGGATAAAAAAATTAAATTCGTTGAGTATAGAAAACTGTCGGAGGAAGATGAAGGCGACAGCTTCGGGTCTGAACGTCGAAACGTCAGGTAGTTTACTTGGTCCTTGACTCAGACTTTGGATAACAATTACTATGATAGTTTTGACAATGTATTCAGTGAATTAATATTTGACGCGTTTTTGTGCAACACTCGCTTATTTGCTGTACACTACGCAACCGGAGCTTTGGATAACGAGAGAAGTTTTTAACTGAAGTGTGAACAAGATCCTGGCCCCCCGAGCTGGCACGAGAATAAACCTTTGTCGTTGTTGTTGGCAGTTCCTGAATATGGCGTCGGTGTTCATGCGGATTTTTAACCTGATTTGCATGATGCTCCTAATCGGCCACTGGAGTGGCTGCCTGCAATTCCTGGTCCCCATGCTCCAAGGGTTTCCTAGTAACTCATGGGTCGCCATTAATGAATTACAAGTAAGTGCTAACGTTAATTCGATCACGAATCTTTCATCTTTTCAGGAACCGATTGAACCACAAAATTACTAAATTCTTTTAAAGTTGAGAACTGAATGTTGAGTACTTAACCTTACGTGTTCACCTTCTTCTCAACTTTTGAAATTAAGCGCTAAATGTTGAGTGTTGAACTTCGGAGCGTTCACCTTCTTCTCAACATTGAAATTGAGCGCTAAATGTTGAGTGCTTAACTTTGAAGCGTTCACCTTCTTCTCAATTTTGAAATTGAGCGCTAAATGTTGAGTGCTTAACTTTGAAGCGTTCACCTTCTTCTCAACTTTGAAATTGAGCGCTAAATGTTGAGTGTTGAACTTCGGAGCGTTCACCTTCTTCTCAACTTTGAAATTGAGCGCTAAATGTTGAGTGTTGAGCTTCGGAGCGTTCACCTTCTTCTCAACATTGAAATTGAGCGCTAAATGTTGAGTGCTTAACTTTGAAGCGTTCACCTTCTTCTCAATTTTGAAATTGAGCGCTAAATGTTGAGTGTTGAACTTCGGAGCGTTCACCTTCTTCTCAACTTTAAAGTTAAATACTGGATGCTGAGAGTTTAATTGTGAAGTGTTTACCTTCTTAACTCAAGCACTGCTGTCGAGCGTTTTAAAGGTGATAAGAAGACGAACGTTTTGAAGTTGATAAGAAGGTTACGTGTGAATTTAGCTAGAAATTGATCGATGAAAAGAATTGAAAATAAAATGGCTCCTTGAGAAGCTTCAATTCTTTGAACAAAGTGCAATGATCATTAAGGGGGAGATGAATGATAAATTCATTAAGTATGATATGTAATTATAAAAATTCAGGGAATAAGGTTAACGATGCTGGATTTCATAACATTTCTTCCGGCTTTCCTAATTTCCTCCCCTGGCACAACTGATTTCTCGTCCTCTGAACGAGAAGTTTCAAAGAACAAAGCACAATGCAACGTTCTAAAAAAACAAGAGAAGAATCCTAAGCTCTTCCTTTTATCTTTTAAAATTCTTTTCTTTGCTAATGGCTTTTCCCTTTCTAATGAGTCCATTCTGACGTCGTTCTTGGATATAGAATACACCCTGACCAGAATCTAACGAAACAAAAAACCATCTAAATCACCAACCTGACAAATATTAGCCGTGTAAATTAATTCGGTGCATTTTCTCATAATTGTTTGACGTTCAAATATTTCCACGTCTTTTAATTCTGCGTAACTTAATTGAACGGTAAATAGAACTTGAAAAAATAAATATATCCACGATGGATGCTGGTAAGAGGCATGTTAGGCACAGCATTCCGTTTTCATTTGAGCCAAAAAAAAAATACTAAGAATATGAAAGATTCTTGAAGAAAATTCTCTCGCTCACTGTACTTAGCTCACTAAAGTCTCACACCTTACTCCATATAATTTGACAATATAGTGAAAGTTCTGACACAGTGTGAAACTAGAAAGTGGTCGAAGCATCACTGTCGTAATATTCTACCGTGATTTTTTTCCAGGACTCGTTTTGGCTGGAACAATACTCATGGGCCCTTTTCAAAGCCATGTCGCACATGCTCTGCATAGGATACGGGAGGTTTCCGCCTCAGTCCTTGACCGACATGTGGCTCACTATGCTCAGCATGATCAGCGGTGCTACCTGTTATGCACTTTTCCTCGGACACGCGACGAATCTCATTCAGTCTCTCGATTCCTCCAGAAGACAATACCGCGAGAAGGTAGTTAACATTCAACGAGCGAACTTGGAGAATTTCATTGAAGGAATCTCTTTTACCGTTTATTTACCTTCTTGCCTCTCGCGAAGTTCGGTCTTTAATTTTTTCGCACGGCGTCGAAACTTGAAATATATCTAACGACGTTTCCCGGGAAACTCCAACTTTCAACTAAGTTCGCGAAAGTAAATGAAACCTAGCTTTAAGTGTATGGAGATCGTTAACCGTACTTACCATCCCGTGTATCTTCCTTGACTTTCTTTATTTTCGTTTTTATCGAAATACTGCTCGAGTGCTTTCCTCGATACTAAAGAATGAAACAACTTTGTCTTTTAACGAGGAGGCAATATTGGAATCACTAATATTTATGCACGAAGAAAGAAGAATATTGTTAATAATAATATTTTGAATTTAAACGAATGAAATTAAATAGTATTAAAAGACGAAGTTAAATTTATACGAACGTTATTTCACGATGGAATATTAGGTTTCCAAAGAAGTGAAATACCGATATGTTCCTTTTCGTTAAGCTGAAAGTAATATCAAATGTTCAAAAGAGGTAGAATACTGAAATATCCAAAGGACACGTTCGATATCGGCGTTAAATTTTTTCTACGCCGAGTTCTAACGATCTTTTGCATAAATTTAAACGAAGATTAATCAAAAGAGCATTAAGAATGGAAACGAACGATCTTTGCTGAAATTTCAATAAACGAAAATTTGTAATTTTCACTTAAATGTCACTGCATGGAAATTAACGATTTCTGTTGAAATTTCACGGAATGGAAATAAAAATGATTGCACAAATTTCAATTAGCGGAGATTAATAATTTTTGTTGAAATTCCAACGAACGGAAATGAACGATTTCTGCTGAAATTTCTCGACAAATGGCAATTAACGATTTCTGATGAAATCAGGTGAAACAAGTAGAGGAATACATGGCCTACCGGAAGTTACCACGAGAAATGAGACAGAGGATCACGGAGTACTTCGAGCACCGCTACCAGGGAAAATTCTTCGACGAGGAGTTGATCCTTGGAGAGCTCTCGGAGAAACTAAGAGAAGTACGAGCGGGAACGAGAGAGACCCATGGGTCTACCGATTTCATCGTTTGTCCCGGCGAAATTCTAACACGTTTCTTTGCCTTTTCGTTTCAGGACGTGATCAACTACAACTGCAGATCGTTAGTCGCGTCCGTGCCATTCTTTGCAAACGCCGATTCGAACTTTGTCTCGGATGTCGTTACCAAACTGAGATACGAAGTCTTCCAGCCAGGTATCGATTATTCACATCGTACAAGATCGTCGTAGAATCGTTAGAAATATCGATAATCCTCGAACTTCGGCAAAAGTTCGGTAATCCTCGTTCGATGGGCTCTAAACGTTGTGTGAAATAGGCTTCACGGCTTCGAGAGATTTCCTCAATTTTGCTAGTATTATGTAGGAAGATCGTAATTCACGTAAGAAACCTATGTATGAAGTGGCCAAAGCAGAGAAAACTGCGTGGTATTTAGCAATAGTTGAACTCTTCGAATAATTCGGATTATTTCGAATTCCTTATGCCAATAATTCGGATAATTTCAAACAGGAATTCTTTATTCGAGTAATACGGATATTTCAAATAATTCGGAAAATTCGAATAATCCGGAATATTCGGACAATGTGAATAATTCGATTTAGTTAAACTATTCAAAGTTGAATTCCGAATTCCACTGATATTCGAATACACCAGATATGCAAATTTTCCTATCTGCCCCAGTTTCAACGGTAACGAAAATATTGCACTCTGTGACACCGTGTGCAAATCCAAAAAAAGCCCACGATCCTGAACTTTCAGGCAGTGCTTTCTCAGTGCTTTCTCAGTGCTCAGTAAATTCTCACTTTCCAACTGTGCGAGAAAGCTTACTCCTTGTCCGATCGAAGGGAAGCTAATCAATGCCCCCCGAAGGAGTGTAACTGTAATCTCGATTCTCGATGGAGAAAGCACGATGGTAACGACGTTGGTGATCGTGTTCTCCAGGTGATATCATCATCAAGGAAGGTACGATCGGCTCTAAAATGTACTTCATACAAGAAGGCATTGTCGATATCGTGATGGCGAACGGCGACGTAGCCACCTCGCTATCAGACGGCTCGTACTTCGGCGAGATCTGCCTGCTGACGAACGCGAGGAGGGTCGCCTCGGTCCGCGCAGAGACCTACTGCAATCTCTTCAGCCTCTCGGTGGATCATTTCAACGCCGTGCTGGACCAGTATCCGTTAATGCGCAGAACGATGGAAAGCGTTGCCGCCGAGAGGTATAAGCTTTGGTTAGGTTTGTTCTATCGAGTTGGTGTGCTAATAGATGTCAATCATCACTCCCACTTCCATGTTGATTTTGCTGAACATTGTGTACTGTCCGACGAAGCGAGTTCTATCAGTCATTATTCTTATTATTCTTATGATTATTATTCTTATTATTCCTGTTATTATTATTATTATTATTACGATTATTATTATTCTTCAAAAACATTCATATTCGCTTTTCTCTTCGACATATTATTATTACGATTATTATTGTTACTGTTATTATTATTGTTGTTGTTGTTATTATTACGACATAATTTATTTCTAATTTCTTTGTGCTGGTTTCAACTCGATGTGCTTGTTCTGCATACACTTTACACACACAAAGAAAAGAAATGAAAAAGAATGAAACCTTGATTTGTATTGACTCGTTATTGACTCCGTTATATTTGCCGATTGAAGAATCTCTCTTTATTGAACGTGACAGTGCAGAATCTATATTTCTATCTTATTTGGGGAGAAAGTTTAACAACGAAAGCGCACTAACTTGCGATCAGAGGGACGCGTATTCGGTTTTTGGATACGCGTCCCCAATGAGTTGAGAGGGTATCCCGATAAGTGTTACGGTTTTTCTTCATCTTTTTTTTTCTTTTTTTTTTTTTTTTTTTTTTTTTTCGTTCTCTCGTACGACACTCGGTTTTGCGTTCGACGAGAGTCGATCTTTTCGTACGACACGGGGACGTGCCGCGACGTCGAACGGATTTCGTTCGAGAATAGAAAAGTAATGAGACAAGCGTGTATAGAAACACCGCGACAAAATATCTTCCACACTCTCGACACATTCACTTACATAGTAATGTTATATTCATAATTTTGCAAACATACTTTTTACAAATGAGTTTGAATTCTCGGTTCCGCTGCATCTCCGCAGAGTCACATTTCCGTTTGGCTTCACATAGAGGATCGATTATTATGATTTGTTGAAACAAATGCACCGTTCAAGCACCTTTTCTATTGGTCTGCAGTGTCGTAGTACGTACGTGTTTTCTTATGTGATTTAACAACGCACCGAAATATTTTCTGTCAACAACTCAGCCTTTCCTTTTCAGTTCTGTGTAGTGGGCATATGAAATTTATTATTCACTTTGCGTTCAATTTATTCGACGATTTAACCCCTCGTTTTTAAACAACCGCATCTACCGTGAACTTATCGAGTTTTTAATTAAATTCGTGATTTAGAAGTTTCTGCGTGCAACTGATAATGAGTTAGTAGTTGTACGAAACGAAACGAACGAAACAATCTTCTTAGAAAATGATCTATGCAATTTTATATCTCCCTACTTGCATGTTCCATTTATTCTCTATATTTAATTTGTGAAAAGAAATTTAAGATGCAAATTTTTAACCCTGTTCGTTCAATTTCACTCGCAGCACATTACTTCCAAAAATGATCTCCTTCAGTTCCGATATTGTACCGAACAATTTCCATAAAATTAACGTCACGAGTGCACCTGTTTAGAGAAGATTGCAGGTAAAGAAAGACTAAAAACACTCCGTGTTAACAATTTCCACTTCTGAGGGGTTAAAACGAATCAGTTTTCAAGGTTAACAAAATGTGATTCTGCGGGAAGCATTTCAAAGCTACTGAATTTCTTTTACCCAGTCTTGTACCTTACATTGTGAAACCTTTAGCGGTGCAAGTGGTATTAGAAACGAATAATAAAAAAAAGTCTGTTGCAAGTCGCGGCGGAATAATAACGTTCGATTTTTTAGGGAATACCTGTACTGCTAAACGGTTTGTAAGTCGATCGATGTGAATTATCGTTGGTTGTGTTCTGTGCAACATTCCCTACGCTTAACTGTGCTCTCTCTTTAGGTTAAACAAAATCGGCAAGAATCCGAATCTGGTGGCTCACCGCGAAGAGGATCTTGGCAGCGAGTCGAAAACGATAAACGCCGTGGTAAACGCGCTCGCGGAGCAAGCTGCGCATGCTAGTGCCAGTGAAGAATCGGTAAATTGATTTTACAGTGTTACCATTCAAAATTCGCATCATTTTTACCGTGAAAATTTGAAAAATTTTTCACATTTGTTACGTTTATTGGTATTCGTCTATTAACTCTTTCCACTGTTCACCAAAATGGCGAGATACGTACATTTTAGAAACATAAATGATTTCTGTATATGACGTTTAAATAACCGAAAGGGTGAGAAAAAGAATGAAAAGATTCCATTGGACCTTACTTTGAGGAAATCGAGGAAAAAATTTCTATTATGAAGTTATTCTACATAACAATTCTCAAGCGACAATTTAAAAGTAATTTTAGTAAATAAGCAGCTATGTTATGAAAAACATTGTAGAATTTTCTCTTTCTTCTTCTCGATCGTTCTATTAATTAGATACTTTTCCATTATCTTCAGTCAAACTAGTGCTAGTTTGATTAGACAATTTTTACCTAAATTTTCGTATACTAATTATTTGTCTTCTCTACTTTTATGTTACTAAACAGTCTTGTACAGAAAATTTACTATACCAATCACAGTTTGCTTTGTTTTAGAGTCTGTGTGCCTTAGAAAGCCAGAGTTGAATCAAGATAGTGGAAAAGCATCACTTCTTATCAAAGTTCATTTATCAAGATTGGTTGCATCTTAACAATTTCAATATCACAATCTCTATGTACTTAATAAAATAACAAACATCACAGTGATGAAAAGCAGAATATTTATTTTACAAAATATTTAATGCCTAGATTATTACAATCTTCATATATTTAATAAAACAAGACACAATAAAACAATATACTATGTACACTATCTAACACAATATGGTTTAATATCTCAACTTGACTAAATTGAAAGAAATACACTTTTGTACTTACAATTCGTTAACAATATTCAAACCACCAACAATCTCTTCAAGATGATATACTAACGTAAAAAACTATGTTTCCAGGTGCACAGCATGGAGCTGAGGACTCTTCCAACTTGCCCGTTACCCAGACCAAAGTCTGAGAACAGTTTCGCGTGCCAGGAGCTCTCGAGGGAGGGGCGACGGGTCTTCCACAAGAGCGACACTTTCCGCAAGGACTCGTATCAATGACGACACTCGTTAGACTAGCATACAGAGAGATACTAACGGCTCCATGCGCGACAGTGGCTCTGTTCACTGTCGATCGGATCGTTGGTAGCCATTTTAAGCCTAGATTCTGGACGCTACACTAGAAGCAGTCTACTATACATAGATATACGCCATGCCAGTAGTCTTCTAGCAATCGGTTTCTAGCGCCTTCTTATATTAACCCGACGGCACGTTCCAGTCCAGGATCTACGCGTAAAATTGTGCGGACCAAAATGTATCCCGAGGTTCTCCAACGATGGCACAGCAGCAGCACACGTGTGAAAAGAAAGTAAAGAAAGAACCTCGTTTCGAAGAAAATTTTTTTCTCCACGGCGAAACGTTCGATTTAAACAGCAATAAATATAAGAGCGAAACGATCGACGAACGAAGAACGGAGAACAATGTGAACGGATCGTTGCCATGGAAGGGTGATCAAGATAGCACGAGAAAGGACGTAAGAGCTCGATAGGAAGAAAGGAATTATCGTTATCAGTCGGCTGTGTCATCGATCGGAGAACAAGGAGCCGTTAAATTCCTGCCGCGAGTCTTCTTCATCGACGGTGTGGCGTCGCACCAGGCGAATGAAAACGACGCGACGACATAGATGAAGACCTCAACGACGACGAAGAGCAGGCCTAGAAATTTATAGAGCGTACGTAGCCCATCGTGGACTAGGTAGAAAAAAAAATCCTAAACGACAGTGTTTAAACGATGCGTAATTCTCTGTGATTTTGCAAAGCCGACGTTTCGCACTTTAGGAAGAAGATGAGAACAAAAAGAAAAAAACAGAAGAAAATTTGGGGGTGAACGAAGAGGGTGAGGAGAGGAGAGTATATGATATACTATACACACGAACGATTAGGATTCTATTTCTGTTTTTATTTTTACTTTTATTATTTTTTTTTTTTTTTTCCTAAGACAACTAACTAACATGTAGAAAGGAGGGGAGGAATTCGGAAACGTACTCGTAAGACGAGGAGATATTTCAATTTGTAAGTTTGTTAAAACTTGTTTTAACTTTAGCTTCGTATCGTTGAACAGTCCCGTGCGAGTGTTTTAAGAAAGAAGAGACGAAGAGACGGAAGAGAACAAAGAGAGAAGAAGAAGAGAGCAAACGAGAGGAAGATGCAATATTCCGCAAGTGTTGGTAATCGAAAGACAGGATCCCACAATGAAGGAGTGAAGGGATATTGAAATGGGGAAACAAAGAAGATGTCTTCATTTATCGCGGCTAATCTATCCTAATTTCAAGAATAACGACGGAGCACGCCTGTATTATTCGGAACTCGCTTCTTCCAGATAGCTCCAGTTTTATTTTCGAAGTAAAAGACAAAATGAAAAACAAACAAAAAAAGCGTCTCGAATCGCTTCGAGAGAGCGCTTGTAGATAATACGCCAATAATTGTAACGCGAATACGAGTTCTATTCAATTAAAAAAAAATCGGAGTTTAGGAAGACCGTCCTGAGACGAGAGATTCAACGGGCCACGGGAACCGAGATGGATGGAAATAAAATAAAAAGAAAAGACGAGAATGTAGAGGTACGAAAATTTCACGGAAGGGAGGGGGAATTAAAGGGGTGGGAGAGAAGATATTAAGTCGTTCTACAAAAGGAAGAAAATTAATAATTATAAAGTCTAAAATCGAAGGCCCAAAGATCGTGTTAACTTGTTGAGTGTTCTTTGGGCTGTCACGACTAAATAAGGGGGAATAATACGCACGTCAATGAATGAGAGATAAGATTTAAATAATGTGGAACGCGAGCGAGAGCGAGAGAGAAAGTATCTTTTTATTCGGGCGAGAAACGCGATGTACTATAAGAAGCGCGAACAAAAGAAGAGAGAGAGAGAGAGAGAGCGAGGAAGCTATAAATATTATGTAATAAATTATTATTATTGTTACCGATTATCATTGCAATGATTATTACATCCACTACCGCATAACAAGAGAAAAACTAGGCAGATTAACAAAAAAATAATAATAATAATGAGAAACTCTACGAAGTATTGTAAATGAGAACAGATACACATATTATATATACATACATATATATACACATACATAAATATACATATAAAGTATGCATAGTGGTCAATACCGTGTTGCAAGATATTATGTAACGTTTCAAACTGTAACGCGAGGAAGGGTTAAACACCGACAACACCGATACTGTTACGGACAGTCTCACACACAGTGACGATCCTTGAAGAGCTGCTTCTAATTGAGTTCGCAATCGGCTGAATACTTTTCGAAAATAACACGAGCTGGATATCTAACGTGTGGAGAATCGAGATCGTACGATCGAACTGTATTATTTTTGTAGCTGTTGACGCGTATGTTTTAGCAGTGTTATTCTTTGCGTCTTTGAAAGTTTAATATGACTGTTAAATTTGTCTGATGATATTTAGTGTACTCGTAGCGAAAGAGAGAAGCTCGGTTCCGATGAAATATTTTTCAGGTCAGTGGCTCCTGAGCTCGAGTTTCATTATCGACGAATTTCTACGATTTTCTTTTGAAAATTCTGAAAAATAGAAACAACTCGAGTTCTCTTGTAACTTAATAGTTGAGTGAAATTTCGTTGAATAGGATTCTGTGAGTAGTGAATTGCTTGAAAAGGGAAAAGGGAAAGAATTTTCAGGTAATAGCAATAAAAAGAGATTCAGGAACCACTGTTCCACGTGTTAACTCAACTGAACTGTAGGTCGCATCTGTTAACAATAATACTCTTCTTTAAACAATTAAATGAACGCTCTAAGAGTCTAATTTATAAATAGCAACGTTGCTTGTTACTTTGAGGTATTATATATACATATATTATATATACACATTGACGTACACTTTTCACTGACGACGACACACACTGGCGGGTGAAAGAAACGTGCCATTCGTTTCCTAGTTGAACGTGTACACCTCTCGTGCATACGTGATGTTATGCATACATGTACATATATACATATATACATATATAAATATATAAATACCCACGTAAGATATCTAGGAATATTATATACATGCGTTTCATACATATACATATGTAAACATATACACCTACACACGTGCGAGGAAAACAGAAGTACCTATTTTTCATGTAAGAGAGAGATAGTTTTCTGTCATTATTTTACATCCCCTCACGTCATCCTGAATAATATTATATTATATATACATATAAATAAAAATAAAATAACACCGACGTTTTTATAGATTAATCTATACACACAAAAACCGGTCTAGGACTAATCTGCCAGCAAAGGTTCGGGCCTAAGGAGTACGCGTAACTAATTATACAAAAGAAAAAAAAACAAAAGGGAAGAAACAGAGAGCGAGAGAGAGAGAGAGATTAGGATTGTTGTTACTGATCGAGAGGGCGTGCGAGAACGATTATTATCATTACGATTATTATTATTACCGTTATGATTATGAGTACGATTATTGTTATGATTATTATTATGGTTATTATTATTATTCGTAGGAGGAATACGTGGCAGAGAAGGAACGGAAGAAAGAAAGTTGTACTCTGCTATCACTGCTAACAAAAAACAAAAAAGACCGATAGACAACTATTTAGCCACTGTCTGCTAATATCGATGAAACGATCAGTGCGCGAAAACAGGGAGAAAAATATACGAGAGAGTGAGAGATAGAAATGCTACTACCGTGTAGAAAAAAAAAAGAGATATTGCGCATTATGAAACCGGTATAATGTACACGTGTTGTACGTAGAGCAGCCGCGGAAAAGAGCATAGCATTCACGGGGAGGGGAAGAAAGCGAGGGCGAGGTTACACACACAAGCGAATAGCGAAACAGGTGAAAAAGAAAAAGAGGTGAAAATGCAAAAAAATGGTTAAAAACAATATTAGGGTTAAATATCGAGCAAAACGCGAACAAAAAAAAACATGTGTTTAAAAAAAAAAAAACAAAAAACATCGTGCGGCTATTCCGAGCATGTACGTTATTTGCTAAGCGACAAGAGTGAGACGCGTAATTAAGCGAAATTAAGAAAAACAAAAGCAACTAAAAGAAAAAAAAAATACATACAAAAAAGGCGAAAAGTTAGTTTTTGTATCGATCTACCGAGAGATGTATGTAGGTTTCACGAGGTAGCAAGAGAAGAAAAAAAACGGAGCACGATCGGGGGTCCGGAAATCGGAAATGGTACGTAAATTCTTGCGCGTGCAACCAAATTCGATTCGAGGTGAATCGAGGAGACGACGACGTATTAAGAGAAAAAGAAGAAAAAAAAACTACGAAAAGAAACGAAACGGAGTTCGATTTTAAGCAATTGAAACCGTGGAAAGCCTTCACAGATCCTTCAGTTTTCTCGTAAAAGATCGAGAGAGTGTCGCGACGATGAATTGCGAGATCGTCGTCGGTTCGCGGTTCGGAAAATGTATGTATATAAAAAAA